AAAACGAGAAAAATTCCATACCGGAAGATCCTCGGCAAAACCGATATTTGAACCTGGCAAAAAAAACCTCTATGATAATCGTTTTGTTTTTATTGATTATTCGGTGCTGGGTCATGAAGGCGAAGTACGTTAGGCTGAAGGACGTTAGGCTGAAGGACATTAGGCTGATGTACATTTATCAGTTATTCTACAAAACAAACTTGTAAATGTAGCCCGACTCTCATAAAATATCCTGTCCTATCCTTCGTTCCAAACGTGAATTTGACCACCGAATGATGCAGAATGTTTTGCCGGTCGTTCCCGTTTCGGTTATGGCTTTGTTGTACACTTTGCACACCTTTGTCAGAAACATCTGCACTTGTAAAAAATCAGCTGCAATGAAGAGCAATATTTTCTAGGGCTGTTTGGAAGAAAGAATGTAATCTACTTTCATACACTCACTCTTTCCGGAAATCTGCTCGACTACCTCTGAAAACAGACTTCATCTACATTTCATCTGCAGTCGCCACAATTGGGTTGTTTAACTTCGAAAAATATACCAATTTTTATACATCATCTGATAGAGCTTCGTTTTATGAGCACAACGATTCCGTAGACATTCATCTCGATTTTGACGTAAGACTACGTCTGTGATTTCTATATGGGGGTACGCTGTGTGAACATCGAAAATGGAATATGTAACAAAATTATGAAAGATTTTGAACGTTTATAACTCAGTTGCCCCTGGACCAAGTTCAATCATTTTATCACCAATCGATCAACAATATTTCTACGCATCAATACCAATGTCTCTGACTGTTTATTTTCAACAAGAAATTATTGAAAAAGTGGTAAATGTCAAGCATTGTCCAAAAGCGTCGAAATAACTAAAAAATTAACCAATTACGTAGATATGCGACGTATGCTGCTTCCCCAACACAGTCATCAGAGAATCGTTTCTAGATGAAACATGTCGATGTAGCATTGCTGCTTCCCCAACACTGTTGTCATGAGAGAGTCGTTAGTAGACGAAACAAGTCAAAGTGGCATCCGCCTCCGATCTTCGGGCGTGTGCTAATAGGGAGGATGCCGTTACGTAACATTTTGCATACTCATCGCCATATTCAGAACTACACGCCCCCCAACGACCTCACAAAATACTCTCCAGAGTTGTAATCTTGTAACCAAACTTGGAAGCAGGGGTGCAAGTGATTTTGATCGATTCTCTTCATAGATTTTCTGTTTCGTTAAAAACTCGAAAAGCATTGCAGAAATAGTGCGAAATAGGTTAGTGAAGTCGTGGTCATCAAAAGAGGAAATCGGTTAAGAGAATTGACTTTTATCTCTCTGCTTCTAAGTCCCTTGATTCAGTCGTCGTCATAGCAATCAATACTAGCATCGCACCGCTTTTGGTTCTTGGCTTACACTTGCTGTTCGACATTTTCGAAGGACCACCAAAAAATCATGAAATTACACTATTTTCTACACACTTAGAAATACCTGATCTTACACGTGACAGAATCCATCTTTGACATAAAGGATGAGACGTAAACAAACAAGTCGTGAAAAATTAAGTGTTCTGAGACTGAAAAGTTCAAAAGTACGTTTGATTGAGCTGAATTTCGCGTCTATTAGGACTCAATTTGATGTCAAAATTGACGCTCGTATATGCCAGTCTCAAAGCACCTAAATTTACATCAATTTTTCTAAGTGTTTAGAGATGTCTAAAAGACCAATTATTCGATTAACGATTTATCGTTAAGATTTTTTCAGCTATTCGATTAAATATTTATCGAATTTTCTAGTAGTCGAGCGCGTAACCGACATCCCTTCTTATTTCTACTCGTTTGATTTAGCGTAGTAGAGAAAATAAATAAAAATACTAATTTATCTGAACAGGCATAGAGAAGAAGCATGGCTGGAAACAGGATCATAAGTTCGCCGAAAAAAGTGTTAAGCGTCTTTCTGCTAAAAGCTAAAATTTACCAACTTGTTGAGAGAAGGAGTTTAACGAGAAAAATTAAAAACGGGAGGAGCAGCTGGGTGGACACTGATATTCTGCGGCCTTCCAACCTGTCACAGACACCAGTTCAACCCCTGTCCAGCAGCAGACGGCTCGAGACTCTTGCGAGTGCCCAATCATTGAACCGAAGAATATTGGATTGTCCGGTCCGATTTGCTGATCCAGCTGCCTACACGTCATCATTATCTTCCAAAGGCTTTAAGCCTGTACTACACTGATAAAAATTCTTAATTTTAATAGTGATGTAAACATTCATTCACGTAAACTTGTATTTCATTTCACGCAACCGACCAACTTGTAAACAATGTTGTTTACAACAATGGGCTTTTGTATACAATATTTGATACATTGCATGTAATGTCTCAGAGCTTTACATGATATATAATGTAAACTAATATGATATGTGACGCTCCATTTATGTGCATCATACTGAACAGAAATTTACACTACTTTTTCGAACTGTGTACCATCGGCCCTTTTCAGAGCCACCAAGATTTTCCAAAAGAGTTAAATTTCGGAACCTGTCCCAATTCAAATGTATATCAAAAGCTTCTTTTCAGGGCAACCATAGTCATACTAAAGAGTATAAACAGAGAGAACACCGCTCAAATTCCTATTCTTACACAAAACACAAGTTCCTGCTGCAGTCAACAAATAACATTTATTATATAAGACCACGTAGGCCTACGTCACCATTGCGAACAACCTCAAAGGGCTGTCCCATGTAGTTTTTTTTTTAAATCAAGATTTAAATTTATGATCCTTGACACTAGATCTATTCGTTGACAGCTCGCTCCCAAACAAAGTCCCACCAAGGGGCGCTGAAATCAGGGCGGCCAGATTATTTTTTTCATTATCGGTAGCTTCTCAAAACTTTTATCGGTAGTTATCGGTAGGCCGCCTTAAGAAGGCTTCCCGAAACTTAAAACCTTTGTAAGCGGGGGAAGGATGAAAACAAATCACGCGCAATTTTGGACTATCGAACCAAGCAATCAGTCCTTCAACCTCACACATTGGATAGTCTAATCTAGGCAAGGTGTATAATGAGTCACGCCAAAAGTGAAGCCAAGTCTACCTATTGAACTGTCAAACCGGCTACCTATCGTGCAAAGTAAACAAACATTACGATGCTATGAAAGGTCCACGAAAGGTATTGCAATAAAATATTATCGAAGAAATGATCATAAACACGCAGTGAACATCAAATTGCAATGGGATACGTTTGGTAATGATCAGTAATGAGAATTACTACTATTTTTTAAAGGTAATTTGACAAAATCACTGGTATAATGATTTACTACAGCCGCTTTTTTCTCGTTAGAAGTCATTTGAAGTTGATGTAGAAGTTTTTTGAAGGTGATGTAGTGATGTTGCCAAGTGAAAAGAAATGGAATCTTTCGAAAACCGTGATGCGAATTGAACTGTTTATCTCTTGGCGTGACTCATTATACACCGACTCTAGTCTTATAATAACAAAAGTTAAGATGGAAAAAGTAGATTAAATGTAAAAAAACTCATCCGTTTGAGTTGAAGTTGCAAAACGCATCGCGTTTGATCAAATTGGGTTGCTTAGGGATATTGAGGTAATTCGTTATCTGCATTAAAAAAGGGAACCGAAATCCAAAATTTCGTCAATTTTGGTACATAAATAAATAAATACGATTACAATAACAAAAATCACCATCTTAGCGCCCCTTGGTGAGACTTTATATGGGAGTGAGTTGTCAACGAATAGATTAAGTGTCAATGATATAAAAATAAATCTAAAAAACATTGGTATTGGACATTTTTCAACATTATTTAAAATCTGTAATTCTCGGTAGGAAAAGTGTAAAATCGGTAGTTTTGAACCTTTCGTCTGTGAATCGGTAGGCATCCCGAAAATCGGTAGGACTACCGATAAATCGGTAGGTATGGCCACCCTGGCTAAAATGGTGATTTTTGCTAATGTAATCGTACTTATTTAAAATAGTTCCAGTGTACCAAAATTGATGAAATTTTGTATTTCAGTTCCATTTTAAATGCAGATAACGAATATGTATTTACCTCAATACCCCTGCGTTTCCATCATTTTTTAAATTATATTTTTAATTATTTAAAAAGAAATCCAGAGGTATCAACCTTGGAAATGTGGGAGGCCAATCAATATCACCTTTTTATACCAGACGTCCAGGGAATTTTCGTTGCAAAAAACTGAATGGTTTGAATGGAGTCCTTTTTTTCGATTTCACTCGAGGTTTCATTGGCGTCAAAATGCTGAGCACGGTGGCGATACAATACAACACATTTGGGCTCTAGGCAACACTCTCTCTTACAGCTTCCACCGGTTCGGTTCATTGGAACATCTTGGTCGTTGATGATCGACATGTGGACGATCTCCCACTATCCCATGCTCAACAAAATCTGACACCAATCGACGAATCGTGTTGTCAGACGGTGCCTGTTTGCCACGATATTTTCGACGATGAAGATGCACGTTGAGTTAACACAACTGAACTTTCAATGTACATCGTCACTATTTCAGCGCGTTGTGTCGGTGTTAAACGTTTTCTTTTTTTTTTTTTTTCATCGGTTTGTTTTCCGTGGATCTTGTTTTCCATTTTTGCTACCGACGACATGAAGGCAGCTCCCACACCTGGACCCTACCTATCAACCCATCAACACATGAACCGCTGAACAACGGCTTTACTTCCCTTCGGAAGGAAGGCGTGATCAGAGATGTTATGCCTCAGAACATCCCGGCGGCGCCGACTGGGATTGAACCCAGGCCTGCTGGGGTGAGAGATAATCACGCTTACCACTACACCACCGGCGCCGCTTTCACGATTCATGGTTAAAATTGTTCTGAATTGATATTTCCAAAATTTGTCAACTCAAGTCAATCGATTGACAAAAGTCAAAGTTATTCAATGTTTACATACCGACATAGAATATGGGGCAGCCTGTATGTAATCGAACAAATGTTTTAGAATCTTCTAAAGCCTGATTTAGTTTTATTCGTTAAATACCATATTTGACAATCATTACCATTATTCTCTGAACCTATTGACACGGAAAGGAACTCCATTAATTTGGATGGCAGATCACCAAGGTCTCTCAGATTAGCATTAGCATCGAACAAGTTATACAATATCGTAGGTGGTACGAATTCAAAACTATTAAGAGCAAAACGGATATCTATTACTGGACAGGTAGTAAGTAGGAAATAATTAATATCTCCAAGATAATAACATATCCCGCTCCAACAGTTAAGGATTGTCCTGGCCACGTCCTTACAACTAGTAGGGATAGGAAAAGTATGTTAGTCTTAAGAGAGATGCAGAGAACTGTACGACACCAATAGACATTTTAACAGATGTTTCGAAAATTGTCTTTGTTTTCAGTGTATCCCCATTTCTTTCACCCTTTGTCTATACATTGGGGTCAATATGACCCTATGCTATTTTTGCAATCTTCAGTATTCTTAAGACCGATTTTTTTCTCTTATATTTTGGCATGCTAAAGTCTTCTTGATATGTCTGCCTCTTAGTTGAGAAATATTTAGAATTTTAGTTAATACCCGTTTTGAAGGAGTTTCGCAATGTACTTAGCTTTATTTTAGAGGTACAGACAAAGCGCTATGCAACAACTGTCGGAATTGTATTACCAAATCTAATCACTTCGACTAATTCTTCATAGTCTCTTTGATCCAGCTGGCAAAGAACGGTACACTAGCATATCCATCCGGTCGATGCGTTCCGCAGTCATGTAGAACAAAGTTCGCCACACCAACCTGCTTCCCCTGGTAGACCGCAGGACTTCCAGAATCGGCCAGACATGCACCGTTATCTACTTCGTTGTTCAGGCAGATGATTCCGGTCATTCTACTAGTTGCGTTGGTGCATTCGTCCTTCTCCAAAATAACCATGGTATTGAACTTGAGCAGTTCGGAAACTGGCTCATTTCTGCCCGTCTTGCCATGACCAGAAATGGTAACTTGCGTTCCAAACGGTACTTCATCCAAATAGAGCTCTAACTTTTGCATCGTTTCGTCAAAGACGATCGCTTCTCCCAGCTTGATCAGTGCTATGTCGTAATGCAGTTTGACGTAGTCCTTGTGAGGAATGATTTTGGTCGGTTTTAGAACCTTGCCTTCCTTGTGGAGATGTGGAGTTCCGACGCGCATCCTCAGCGCGTCATTCGGCAGAACGCTGTGGAAATAAGCGAGAATTAATCTTTCTAACGGGTGTTCAATAAAAAATGAGAATGATTTCAGTGCCGTCCAGCGCCCTTGTGAGAGCATCGCGACAAAGTTGCGTCGTACGGCTGACCAGGGCCCCTTCTCCAATATTCATTGACGTTTTTTTTAAGAATAAACATTATGTTTTTGATAAAAAATACTGAATTCGTTGGAATTTTTTTTTACTAGCTATGACTGAAAAAAATTTCGTTTTTTATTGAACATCCGTTAGCTGCTATCGATGCCACGATGGAATAAACCTACCTTCCATTCAACTGCAAAATGCAATGCGCTGCCGTTAGAATCCACCGCTCATCGATGATTGATCCACCGCACATAAACTGACCTCGCTTGAACAGAGCCACCTGGTAGGGAAACTGCTTTTCTTCGGCGAACTGTCCTCCGACGATCCTTCTAGCGTTGGACGGTCCTACGGCCACTAGAGCGACCAGCAGCAGTGAAGCAATGAAGACTTTCATGACTGCCGATGGGAGTCGTGTAGGGTTGTTGCAAAAAGTGATAGAGTCTAGGGTTGGTGGCTACCATTTTATAGGTTTTCTTCTGTTCAAGAGGATCCATTAATGACGTGTGATTCAAGTGCAAGCTCGTGCAACGTGAAGGAGTGACGTCGAGTGATAAGGCCATAGTTAACTTGTAATGATATGAGTAATAGATAGCGAAGTACCAGGGGATCGCTGATTGTCTTAAGAGGCAACTAACAGTCAGCCTCAGAAGATGTATTCAATAATGATCATCAAAAAGTGGGATTTTGGTGGTGAAAATTTCCACCAGCAACTTTCGATGCTTTTCCAGCATAAACAAAAGAAATACATCAAAAATTAACATTTCAAAGATTGTTCCGTTAAATTAATTTTATAAACTCACCTTTTAATCAAGCAGTATCTATTTTTTTTTTCGGTAGAAAATTGCTTTAGAAGAAACAACACATTCTATTTCGGCTTTGCACTACGACACTCAAAAAATCATCGCAATAAAAATAATTCTAAGCGCCAAATTTAGCACCGATTATTTCCATCACTTCCTTAAGGGATTCAGGATTTAAACTATACTCACTACATCAGCACATAAATCTACTTTGAACATTTAATCAGTTTTACTCGATTTATCCCGAAAATTTACTGAAAATTGCTCAATCCACGGTTTAAGCCACTTAGGAATGGAACAAACTCTTATGCTTATTACAGCACGGGAAAAACAACTAGGGGAAAAGTTTTTTTTTAAACTAGTTCGTTTATTTACTAGGCTCAGTCGTGTGTGACACTTTGCGGAGCCAAAATCAGTAAGGTTTGATTTACATTTTAAATAGCAGTCTTTCTAGGTTAGTATTGGGTACCAATTTCTCGTGGCGGGCTCGAGGTTAAAGGGTAACAATTTCAATTGGAAGGATCTAGGTAGGAAACTGGTTTCTGAAGCCTCCTTCAGATACTATTCTCGGACGGTTGACCAAATCCTGACTGGGCAGGGGCAAGTAGCACAGGAACAGGAGGATAATAAGACTGGGACACAATGGCGGGAAATTGTTTGGAAAGGAGGGGATAGTCCCATCAAACTCTAACATCAGACAAACAAAGGAATTCGTAGATCGCTTGCATGTAGGGAAGATCACGTGTTCCCAATACATCTCCTACTTCACGAAAGGGTTGTCTGCCTCGGGCCACTAGGGTATCCAATAGTCGTGCTCTGGAGGCGTCATTACCCGGGCAATACCAAACTGCGTGATCGATGTCATCATAACCGGTTCTGCACCTACATATATTGCTGTCAACGAGGTTTATTCTATAGAGATGTGCGTCTAGCAAGTAGTGGTTGGACATAAGTCTTGACATCACTCGAATGAATCCCCGAACTAGGGGAAAAGTTGGCTTCGGCAATACCTTAACCTATTATCGTCAGGGGGTAAACAACGTCCTTGAGAGCTCAATTTTGGCATGTGGCTACATTGTGTTTCAGAGCAACTATTGGCCAAATTTGAGTGCTCTAGGACTTTGTTTACCCCTCTGACAATAATAGGTTAAGGTATTGCCGAAGCCAACTTTTCCCCTATAACAATAACAATGTATCTTTTTAGTTCATAAAGCGCTCGTTTTGGAGACAGTAACCATGCAAGAGGAGCATAAGAAAAAAAAATCGTTCGCAGTCACCTGGAAAATCCATCGTAGTCCACGTCCAAGCTGACTAAGGTGTTGAATTTTCCTAGAAACACTGTATGACGAATGCTAAAAAACGTACAGGGAAACCTTAACGACGAATCGGCAGCCTCAAAGTATACGCCGGAGTGGAACTGCCAATCGCCAGGTATGTCCGATCGCGATAAAAAGTATGATGCCGCCCATAGTACAGTGCAGTGAATTCGCTACGGCGAAGGCTTACAGGCATACTGCACCAGTAGGCAACCAAATCGATCGCTCAAGCAGAATACCGTAGCTAGAACCCGTGCTCGAAAGCTATATGACAACCTGCTGATCAAGTCTGGTTGGTGCATACTTAGGGACGCTGAAACCAGGCCAATGATGATGAAAAGGTCGACTTCGGGTAGCTTACAGGACTAAAATTTTACAAGGCGAAGGCTCGAGGAGGTGCCCCTGGTAGATTCAAATTTGATTTTGCAAATAAAGTTGCACGCAAATATATGATCTGGCAGGGAATTTGCGGCTGTGGCCAGAAGACAAAGGTTTTCATCACTAACAAAGTAATGAACTCGGAGGTTTACAAAACCGAAAGTCTCCAGAAGCGAATTCTCCCCTTCATCCAGTCGCATGATGGTCCGGACATTTTGGTCGGATCTTGCGAGTTGTCACTACAGCCGGTAAGTACGACAATGGTTCAATGGCAACGAAGTCCAGTTTGTTCCGAAAACCATCAATCTGCCCAATTGTCCCCAGTTCAGGCCCATTGAAAACTAATGGGCAATTTTAAAGAGGAAACTGAAGGTAAAAGGTACAGTCGTCAAAACGGCAGCTCAGATGAAAAATTGGTGGGATAAAATCGCCAAAACAGTGGACGAGACAGTTGAGCGCTGCTTGCTGGGTCGTATTAGGGGAAAAGTTAGAGGATTCCTTCAAAACCACGACGAATAATTTATTTTGCATTTTTTTTTCTTAAAATATAAGGGATAGTATGCACTTGAGTGAAAACCGTTTTCAAATCCGTTAATTCAAATTCGAAGTAGACCCAAATGAACAACATACTAAGTGGGCAATGCTTTAAATAAAAACAACAAGCTGATCATCATGAAATAAACAAATTGACAACTTGGTAGAAAAAGATATAGAGTAGAGAACTACTTCGGCCTAATCGCCCATTAACAAGTCAATTATGGGTTTGGTACGATACTTTAGTTAATAAGCTACCGAACGAAGTCAATGAGAACGCGTGATATGAAGGTTTGCACCCATAATTCACAAAAACAAAAGAAGCGCTTCGATCGAATCAATTTTTATCTTCATCCGCTAGGCCGAAGTGAATTCATTGGCGTTTCAATGCGTTAGGCCGAGTTTAGAATCCGTAGGCCAAGTTTAGTATTCGTAGGCCGAGTTTCCCGAGCAAAGTTAGAGAACAAATTGAAATCAGAATTTGCTGTTATGATGTAACTTATTTTGAATACTTCATTTGATTTCATGTTGGTTGACTTAACGGTTAATACAGCAAAAATGAGAGCAACATTTTACACTGTTGAATCAAACGGAAAACTAATCCTGCTTTCAATGAAATCAATTTAATAGCTGGTTTTGCATTCATAATGTTTAACTGAATACGGGCCTGGCGTAAATGGTTAGCATCCATGCTTTCACGCTGAAAGACTTGATCTCAAACCTCACCTCGGTTTAGTCACGAATGACCTAAAATATGTTAAACAAAACAAATAAACGACAGATGAACTTAAATCAAATTTTAAACAAGAAATTAATAGCAGAACTTCAAGTTAAGTTGCTTTGATTTAAAATATGTTGACTGCATAATGAAAGCACAATATGAAATCAGACTTCTGTCGCGACAATTGAAATCAAAATGAGTTTTCATTATGATAGGAACTGCAAACTTTAATATCGATTTGCTTTCATTTTGTTAACCGACTTTGCTCGGGTTGGCATCAAGAAGCAGTGTTAGACTTTTGACAATATATCAACGATTGGTTTATCTTTATCAAATCGTACGGTACGTACGGAAAGGTAAATAAGTTTGGAAACCATCAGTAATAATAACATTCCGTTTGGTGCTAAACTGCGCTATATTAAGAAAGACTAAGTGCAGGTTGTGCTAAATATGTCGGAAATGGGTTAGTTAACCCTATCAAAGAGGCTTTACTTTTGCATCACAGAAGGAGATCAATAAAAGGGCTTTAATAAAACCTTTGCAAATTACAATTAATTAATACAGAGTGGCCTAAGAGTTCAAGTCATTCCTCGCCGATTGCTTGAAGTAGCCGGGCACCCCATAAGTATACTACACCCAAGTAACAATTTTGGTTTTATGAGGGTTCTGTAGACCATGATTTGAACTTGTAGAATGCTATAAAACCTCTATAAAACTTGCAATTTTACTTGGGCAGTATGCTAGTCTTCTCTAGCCCATTGCCCCGCTTTTGCTATTAAATTTTGCGCGTGGCTTTGCCCTCTTCCCTGATAGGGTTGGGGGCTATAGGGCTATAGTGGTGCAACTTTTTGCATCAAGTAGAAAGTTTTAGTTTTATTTTATTTATTTTTTATAATTTTATTTTTGTTTTGTTTGATTGCTCATTAACTGAGCAACAAAATATTAACAACTAGTAGTTAAGTAGATTAATTGTTGAAGGTTTTTTAAAGTATTTTTTCCATTTTAAACGGTTGTGTACCGCTTTTGCGCAACACTTATGGCGTCTTCGGATACCTACGTTGCGCGAACTAGATACTACCAACCGTCTTCGAAAGGACCATGGCACAGTGGTTGAAATCGTCGTTTTTGCGCGCTTAATTAATAACATCTTTATTCTGATATTTAGGGCTATGGTGTCTTCTGAGAAGTTTATCAATAAATGTATGCGCTTCTTTTGGGCTTTTCAGCACAAGGATTAATCCCCCTTAAAGTGAGATAGAAAATTTATTTTTTTAATTTTGCAATATACAGGGTTAGTGTCTTCACAAAAGTTCGAGAAATCATTCTTTTGAATAACTTTGTCCAAGACACCTAAACCGTATCTTGCTCACTTTTGGAGATATGTTACGTTATTTGTCGACAACCCCTAAAAGTGGTTTTTTAATCATAACTTTTTTATTATAACTTTTTCGACTTTACGAAGTTCTAAAAAGTTATAGACAACGCTAAAATACAAAACTTTGTCCAACATAGCAACCCTGTAGTTTTTCAAATTAAAAAGTTATTAAATTTTTTTTTTGTTTTTTTGGCCATTTTTTATGTAGTTGTAACTCAATGTGGTGCAAAATGGTGCAAGTTATCAACCATGCATGTGAAACTACAAGTAATTTACTTTAAGATGATGGCAAAAC